AGTAAAAAAATGAGCATCAATATGAACATCAATATTTGAAACAGCTGCGTCGCTAATGAAATGTGTATTTAAAACAGTCATGGTTATTTTTACACAAATTGCTTGGAGCCTTTTAATGAGCTGTTATTCTGAAGCTCGTTAACGTCTTCTATCTAGAGAGTTAATCTTACAAAAATTTTCTTTTAATTGTATCTTTTTCTTGAAGTTTTTGGAATGCTATTTAATTAGTATCAAAACTCAACTGTATAATCTCAAGGATTACCTAGAATAAAGCCTGCGATGGGTGAAATTACAATTTTTAGCCTAAATAACTGCCTGTTTAGATTGTACATAATATTTAATGAGCATTAAACCGACAAAAATAAATAAAATGTGACATAACTTACAGCACTATATAAGTTAAGTCACATTTTATTTTATTTCAATGATATCTTAAACTCAGAATTTCATAATCATCGAAAGACTTGTGTTTTTACGAACTTTTTAAAGTAATATATCATAATTCATGTAAAATTAAAACATTAAAAACTAGGGACGGATGTTTGCTTAACCGTTTCCAAGAAATGTCAAAGACGGAATTATATCGTTAGTTTTTTTCACATAGTTTTTAGCAAAAAGGCGTATATAAGTCCCTAATTGCCAATTAACACACCATTATAGGAGTCTATCGATTTAATGGATCACCGTGGATAGGGAGAACCATAAAAGGAAGAGAAATATTTATGCTAACTTCTATAAAATTTTCCATACGCTAGATGGAAGTCGGATAGGACAAATTGTGAAGGTCCGCGAGGTACACGTATTAATATGTTAATGGCATTTATGTTTGTCATTAGTTTGAGTAAAAATTGAATTTTTATTATGATAAACAAAATTTCAACAAAAATATACTATTCTGATGTGTAACCGGCTGTACAAGAAAGAAAACACCCAGAGGGCTGAGTGTGAGTTGTGAGCGCATTTGATGTAAGCTCACACTAAGCCCTCAAATCAATTTCAGTGAAATTGAACGAAGCTTGAATAATGACTAAATTAGTAAACAACCGTTTTACTTCTCATTTACCTTCCATATAAAGTCATAATAACGACTTAAGCACATAATGTACAGCATCCTAGCTATAATCCTACCTCCCATCAAAAAGCCCCACATATTTCCCTGAAACACTCGAACCAAATCCTTCACGAATGAGTAGGCCCAAAAAGTTTATTAAACGAGATAAACGAAAAAAATAAGGGATGGAGAGTATAAAACAGGCAAGCGTAAGTTGGAATTTCAAACAAGGTTCAAGAGCCAAAGCCTTCCCATGCCTTTAACTGTTTTACTTATAACGTTTTGTCTTTTCAAAGGATCACATTCAAACCCATTTCTTTAGCTCAACTTGTCTAACTTTTATTTCCATTATTGGTTTCATTGTCTGGTTGTTTTAGGCGAAAAATAAAATCAGCGTTTCAGACCTTACAGGAATTCCACACTGAATGCGGTCTGCGGTCAGATCAAAGTAATCATACATTATGCGGGCTGCATTCACTTTGACCTACCGCAGACCGAATCCAGTGTGACAAATCCTTAAGCTCTTTGTGAACCTAAACAAAGGTAAAGAAACAGGACTACTCCCACCTCTCGCTCCCACCGCTGCAACTCCTGTGCAGCCAGGATCTACAGCTTGACCGCCAATAAAAACCCAACCAGTGAAGGTCAAGTTTGTTTCGGGGGAAAGTTAAACTGTCATTGGACTCGCAAAGAAACTAAATAAAGATGCGAGTAAGTTGAACTGTTTGCCCATCAATTTACATGGCGAGGCATAAATCTATTGCGGTGCCTACGGAACCCTATAAATTAGAGGCACCGGAGCAGAATAACGAAGCCCAGGATAATAAAGTTCGTTAGCAAACTGTATCCATCCATACGGTCGACGTCACACGTAGATTAATAGTAAATAGCCGAGGGAAAGTGATTGTTGCTAGCTTTGTTTGGCCTTTATCAATAATGATTTATTTCATTAAACTACTGGATTTAATTAAAAACCACGACTATTGATTGTTATGATAGCCTTTTTTAAAGTAGGCACTTTGTCTACTCGGTAAACGGTATTTATCAAAAAAGCAATGGTTTGGAAATAAAGCAAAAGAAGCCAAGTTGTCCCGATTATAAGGGATCAATCGACACGTCCCGATTTTCAGGACTCTGACGTCCCGGTTTACCCTTTCATTGGCGTCTTTTCATGTTTTATATTTATAACCTTTTACAATCACGACTTTTCAGTTAAATAAGTTAGCAAAAAGTATTCTAGTATGCAAAACACACCGAGTAATCTACAATATAAAATTTTCTCAGTCCGCAGCTGACTTGACTGACAGGCATTCCATTAATTAAATAAACTGAACACCAATTTCACAATTTCATAAAAGGTATTAAAAGATCTTGTACCTAATTATGAAAAGCATAACTGAAATGAGTCTGACATTCTGATTACACAAATCCAAACTATTCGTACATTATTTGATTAAATTCGTTGTGTATCCAAGAAGTTAAACTTTGGCATAACTTTATACATGACTGGGTTTTATCGACGTGTGAAAGCAATGTCTAGTGGTCAAACCACACGAGCAAAGATCATAGTTAAAATATAAATATACGCTCAACAGAGGATAATTTGACAAAAGGTATCCTGGAGTATCTTGGAGTTCCTGTACTAAAGATTATTAGCTCTCATCACAGCTCTCACTTTAAATGATTTGAACCGTCACACAATGAGTATACACACACATCATGCCATTACATGATGGTAACCAAGGTAAATACAAATGAATAGGTCATCTTCATAGGAACGCACGGGCGCGGTTGTCAGTGTGTGCGTGCGCGCGCTCACATACAAACCGCGCTCGGTGCGTTTCTATGAAGATAACCTACTCATTTGTATTTACTCTGTGGTAACTCCCGGTATTTGGGATGTGCCTCTTACAGTTTGTCGTGGGAAAGCGCAGTGGATGTCACGCGAGCACCAGGGAAGCTCAACCTTCTCAAAATTGATCCCAAATAACCATGAGGCGAACAGGTAGGCAGTTTCGTAGACGTACGGCAGTAACTTATTTTGTAAAGCCTTCCCCATATAGAATGCGTTACCTAGCGCACATAACACTATACTGAGTTATTAATAAATAGCATCAAGTAGAGCACTAATTAGAGTAGGCGCACACCGTTGATTTTTAGTTGGCCGATAGTTATGCCCGATTTCAAATTGTATGAAGAATCGGCCATACATGCCCATACTGATCAACAGCCCGACTAAGCTATCGGCCGACGAAAAATCAACGGTGTGCGCCTACTCTTAATGCGCTCTCAACCGTGCCTATTAATAAGAATTGACATGATATTAAGAGTATTTAGGCAATCTTTAAACAATTATTTATCAACGCAATCCACGTAATTAAATTGTATACATCGTAACTACACCTAGCTTTTTAGGTCTATAAATAATCTCAAGTCAGATCAATTTCATGTAATCAGAGAACTAGAGAATGTTTACCGATTTGCCTCATTTCCAAGAAATCCAAATAACTACTATATTAAAACTAGCTTTTGCCCGCGGCTTTACTCACGTGAAATTTAGTTTGTCACATATCATCATAAATTATAATAATTATGTTATTCTGGGTTATAAACAATAATATTGCAGTTTCAACAAAATCCGTTCAGTAGTTTTTGCGTGAAAGAGTAACAAACATCCAGACATCCAAACTTTCGCATTTATAATATAATTAGGATAATTTTACCTTCGCCAAGATGTGTCACTTCTGTCCGCCACGGTAGGCCAGTTGCGTGGCGGCGCCCGCGCAGGTTTCCATGGAAGCGCGCAGGAAGCCGCCAATCCACGCAACTCCGCTTTCCACCATCGTTGCGCAATAGCACCGTTTGTGCGTAACTGCTGCGTAGCTGCTCTGATATTCGGCCATTTTCTTGGCCGAACACCATCAAAGTACCTATTCGAAGAAAGAGGTGTAACTTTAAAGAGTCGACGTACTTTTATTTGATAACATACTTAGATATTAAATAAAATTAGTTAAGTTTAGTTAGTTATTTAGTAGCTTAGAGCAGAAGCTCCATAAAGCACACTCGAAAATAATAGGTTGCCGAAATATGGTCGACCGAATAATGTCACTCATATTCGGCCAAAAATCAACGGTCGAATAAGTAGGTACGAAATAGCGGCCGAATTCGGGGTGTCTCTAGTGACTTCACCTTTACGACGAAATCATTATTCGGTCCGCTGGCCATGAGGGCCTATGCGGGCGTTACCAAGAACAACTGTTCAACGCGACCGTACAACGGAAACGTTGACAACCCCTGGCCTATCTAATTCCCTTAAATACAAACCGTGATGCGGAAAATTGACATAGTTAATGGGCTTTCATTAAAATAAAAGTTGAATTTTTTATTCCTGCAACAGATGCTTTTGTTATACATTACCTAGTATGCGTCCTAGGATGTAGTTTGCTTTGTACAACATTCAGGAACTTTAATCCTCCAACGTGCTTTGATGTGGGTAGTAAATTCAAAGTTGCATTTGTGTTACCACTATGTGACAAAACTACGACCCTGCAAAAGTATTAATTAATGAAACCCATAGATAAAGGTAAAAGTTCTGAGCTGTTGTTTGTTTAACCACCATCATACTCCGAAAAGCTACACTATCAAAAATAGGTACTGCGGTCTGCGCATTGCATAATATTGCAGTGCACGATTTTGACCATAATTTATTATTTTGTATACCAACCTCTTTCTACGACCTAAATAAAAACTCCAAGAAGATACTGTCCGAACCTCGAATCAAAAAAGAATAATGAAAATTCAAATTCTGAAACTGCCTTTTTGACAAATTGCGATCCAAATCAGTTTTTTATAAAAATTTACACAGGACACATCTATTTATAAAAAAACTTTATAAACTTTTAAAATCAATCAAAAAAACTAGGCACAAAATTAACAAGTAAAATCTAATCTATTGACCTAGTAAGAAATCACGTGGTGTAAATAAACCGATCGAGAAAATGGCGTGTTGCGGTCCTTGCTGCGGTCCCTGCTTTCCCTGCTGCTGCGGGCCGTGCTGCGGCCCCTGCGGGCCTTGCATGCCGTGCTGCTCGCCGCCGTCGTGCCCGCCTCCTTCTTGCGGGCCCCCGTCGTGTGGGCCTTGCCCGCCGCCGTCGTGCTGTTCGCCGCCGCCGTGCCCGCCCCCGTCCTGCGGTCCCTGCCCGCAGCCCTCGTGCGGTCCCTGCCCGCAGCCCTCGTGCGGCCCCTGCCCGCCGCCCTCGTGTGGCCCCTGCCCGCCTCCATCGTGCGGGCCATGTCCGCCGCCGTCCTGCTCGCCGTGCTGCTTCAACCCTTGCCCGTCGTTCTGCCGGCCGCAACCTTGCTGCGGGCCGTGCGGGCCCTGCGGACCGTCGCCGTGCTGCGGGCCCCCGAGCTGCGGGCCCCCAAGCTGTGGACCGAGCCCGTGCCCTCCCTGCGGCCCCTCGCCGCCCTGCGGGCCGTGCTGTTGAACCCGGCGCGAACGCCGTTGTGAGTCCTGTGTAACGTAGATCGATGCCAGACCTGGAGACGCGGGTAGAGGCTGTGACCCGCAAGATCCGGGGGAGCCGCCACGTGATGTTACTGTTTTATCCAGTGAACGTAATTTAAGAATAAAATGTTGTTGGAATTTCTGCATTTCACTTGTAATTTAGTCTATCAAAGAGGAGCAGGTGTACTAGAGAGGAACCGAGAGGTTTAGTAGAGAGGAACCGAGAGGTTTAGTAGAGAGGGACCGAGAGGTTTAGTAGAGAGGGACCGAGAGGTTTAGTAGAGAGGGACCGAGAGGTTTAGTAGAGAGGGACCGAGAGGTTTAGTAGAGAGGGACCGAGAGGTTTAGTAGAGAGGGACCGAGAGGTTTAGTAGAGAGGGACCGAGAGGTTTAGTAGAGAGGGACCGAGAGGTGTGCAGTAGAGGGACCGAGAGGTGTGCAGTAAAGGGACCGAGAGTTGCGCAGTAGAGAGTGTAGAGCCAAATGTTAGTACAATGATATTGAAAAAATAAACATTAAAGGCTAAACACACAAAATTAAGAAGAAAACAAACCAAAATAATAGTTGCCGAAGATGACCGTCACTTTCCCGCCAAAAATCTAATGCCAGTTTGCTGACAATGTTTTTTTATAAAGTTTTACGGCTCTGAGTAATGTGATGTGTCAAAATGTTTGTAGAGATGCTCTAATAGTGTTTGCAAATAAATGTGCAAATAAGGAATTAGATAAAATATTATTATTTTTATTTATTTATTGCCCTTAATAATTAACATAATTTTTTTCGTTATTGCATAACGTATTCGGTATAGTTCGTTAAAATTATATTGTTTATGGTTACTTGACAGGAACCTGCAGAATAAAAAAAAACAATATTTGAATTTGGAAAACAGCTGACAGTTCTTTTCAGTACAGTTTGAGACACCGCACTAGCCCAACGTCACGTCACTGTTTCGGACTTGTTCAAAATTCCTCGTCAAGCTTGGCCAGAATGCCGGTATACTACGGCGGTTTTGTGGGGGGGCCCCATGGCGGCGGCTACTGCCTGTACTCATACAGCCAATGCCAGCCATCGACTGGGGGCTGCGGGCCCGCGAGTCCCCCACCGGGGCCCAGCTGCCCTCTCTCTTGCTGAACTTGCTGATTGCTTTTATGTAAGTTATTTTTCAAACACTAGTTCTATGGCGAAATGGCAAACTAGGAATGCAAGCACAATCCTAGTTATAAGTGGACGACCGAATTCAACTAGCGATCGTACTCGACGATGGTAGAGATCGCAAATGGGCATCGCCAACTATCCAAAAATCCAGGAGACTGTTTCTGTAGTGGAAAACAGACCTCCCGCCAACTTTTCTTCGAGTTCAAGCGTTGTAAACTTATAAAAAGGAATATCTTTATCTACAGCTATGATTCTTATTTTCAGATCCCATCAGAGCTCAGTTCAGAGAGCATCGTGCGGGAGAACCTGTGTTTTGTGATATCGCTCGTCATGTTCGTGCTGCTGACCTGGGTCTCCGTCCGAGGCTACTGCTCCGGGCTGGAGAAAGCTCCGTTCTATAGTGATTATTCAATACACGTTTAAAAATTACTTGCAACGTTTTATTTCATAGTTGTTTGCATCCTTCTAAGTTTCAAAATGCACTATACACCTAGGGTTGGACCCTCCAAAGCGGAATTGGACAGCAGAGGTCCTGGAGGGATATGACTTGACTTAAGCTGTCACGAGGATGACGTGACGTAAAAGCCGTCACGAGGATGACGTAACAAAGCTGTCACGAGGATGACGTGACGTAAAAGCCGTCACGAGGATAACGTGACTGTAAAGCCGTCACGAGGATGACGTGACGTAAAAGCGGTCACGAGGATGACGTGACGTAAAGGCTGTCACGAGGATGAAGTGACGTAAAAGCTGTCACGAACTCGCGATAACATTTTTGCTGGGGTAATGCACACGCGAAAGGCTACTTTTTTTTGTGATGGATTATCCCGCTGCAGATGTAAAAAGCAAACACCCCTAGCAATTTACCAGAACCTGTACCGCAGAACCTCACATCTGCCTACCGCAGACCTACTGATAAGATAACTGACAGAAAATAATAAAATAAGCAAGTTCACAGCATCCCTTTATTAACGTCACAAATCACAATAGTTCACGCAGTTCACGCGACCTTTACACCTGTCCCGAATGGCAGTTGTAGCAGGGTCCCACGGGCGAGCAGCAGCAGCCCTGAACGCAGGGGGGACAGCACCGGGGCATTGGCCGGTCGCAGCCGCCGGGACACCGCGCGAACGTCCCGATGTTGAAGTCCCGGTAGCAACCATATTGATAAGGCATTCTGGAACTTGAGGCTTCAGACTTGCTTTTAGAAAACTTTTTTTGATAATTTTCCGAATTTATTTAGTTTTTTTGGACTTTTTCAAATTTTTCCGCTTGATGCGATGCTGTGGAATTGAAATGTCAGTGATTTGACATTACATTTGCGAAAGTTTTTTTTATAAAAATTAATAGGTCAGTATCAAAATTTCAAATATAGGATATCGTTATTAATTTATTTGTATAACGTTATTGTACCGTTTTGCCGTAATTTATTTAATTTTACACAATAGCTTTATGCACAATAGCCAGGCAAACAGTTGATGTTTTTAACTCGAACAACATTTATTATCAAAATGATCAGTAAATGATCCCTTTCTTACTTTTCAATAAAATTATTGCTTCAAAAAATAATTGTTACAATAAAGAATTTAAATAATGCAATTAACTTTATTACAATACAACAATAAAATACCTAGTGCTCAAGTACAAACTTTAGTACTTATTTCTTGAAAATAAAAGTTATCTTGTTCATTGCTCTTTGACTCTCGCAGCCTCTGATTCGGTCAACTACCCCAATCCCGAACGTTCAACCTGCGGGTATGTACACAATACACAACACAACCCTCCGCTCAGACCCCTAGAGAAATCATCCCCTATTAAGAAAAAAGCAGGCAAGCATTATTAATCAATGCTAACTTAATGAGGTACTCCAGTACTTTATCAATCATTCCTAAAAATACTCGGTGACATTGTATGGGGGGTTACATTCGTAGAAACGGCTGCGACCCTCGCCATTGGATTCTATGAATACGTACATTAATGCTGGTCTAAAAACGACCAATCCGTCTAGACCCGTGTAAGTCACGGATTACGAAATATACAAAGCTCTATTGGTGCTGGTTTATCGTATATTTCTGTAGATAATAGACGTGTAACAAAATTTCGTAGAAACGAGGTCATAGTCCGGTGGATATATTCATGGAAGAGTGCTTCCAAAATAAATTGCTTGTGTACTCATAGTTGCATAGATCGTGTAGGTATTAATTAACGTAACAGCTTGGTTTCTGTCTGCGCTCGGATGCACAAAGCGATGCAATCCTCCGGAATGAGCTCCGAACATTAACGTGCTACATTCAGGCACGGATGCCTAAAGCACCTGAAGCCTTAGATTAATACCTACGGGCTATGTGCTTACATAGCGCAAATGGATCATCCAATATAATACCTACCTATGTAGCACGCGTAGACATAATATGTGAAAGCCTGGCTGGCTTCTGCGTAAATTGAAAATTTAAATAACGAAAAACGCATAATATTTCAAATATTTCACTGAAAATGTGTTTATTAACGAATACCTGGAAAATTGTCACGTGGGTTGTGCCAATGTACGAGTACATACAGATACAGGCGACGGTATATCAAGCTAAACACTGTAAAAGGTATCTATCATGAAGTCATAGCGTATAAAAAGGGATCGATAGTTTGCATTAAAATCATACCATGTAACGTGCAAGTACTTGGTAAGTAGTATTCTTAGCATAGTATTCGAGACTAGATGATACAAAATATGAAACATCCATTACCCGCACTCATCATAAATAGTTGAAAGCGTGTGACATGTGATTTTATCGCCCACCGTGCGCAACTTCCGCCCGCCATCTTATCTGATGGCGACGTTTTACAAAATGACCGTGCTTCCGGTCTGCACACCTTGTGCACTCGTGTGATTTTATTTATTTTTACGCATCTTTGTTGCTATACAAGACAAGTGTTAAGGCGAAGTTTCAAAATCGTAATGGTAGCCAACTTCTTCATTAATTTAGTAGGTAGTTATCAACAGATAACTGTCGGTCTACAATCAAATATGACCAGAACCACTGCAGCAGAGTTTAGAACCACTGCATGTATTTTTTCCAGTGGATCTACTGAGGGCAAGACCATAGATAGGCAATTTTAAATTTATTTTTTATAGTAAAAAATAAAGGGGTATGGTGTACCTTTGCTTACTGTGTTTATTTGTACGCAAGTTACTTTACCTACTACTACCTAGGTAACCTAGGCGAGTAGCTAGCTATCTCCTGATTTTAAATACAGTTAAAAAAGACAAAAATAACATCCACAACTTTATTTACAAAACAATCCACGCTTCAAATGCATTTGGAAGGGCCGTATCTCCAGCTGTATGTCCCGAAGGGCTGGCCGCACGGGCCGATGCAAACGCCACCGCAGGGTCCGCAGAAAGGCGCCGGGTATGCTAAGCCAGCGACCTGGCCGTAGCCAGGAGTACCACAGGATGGGCAAGGCATCTTGGATTGGGTTCTTCAAATTAAACAAGGGTAGGGTAATTGAAATTATTGGGTGGCTGTTATTTTTGGAGGTTTTGAATTTTTTGATTTTTTTTCCAACTTTTTGATGTGGACGTCTTTGGAAAATACAACAGACAGATGAATGCAGATGAATGACAGATGTGTCATGATGTGACAGGAATGGGAAAAACAGAAAAATATAAAAGATGATTGATAAGAATTTAAGCTGGCCTTCTTTCTCTATTAAACTTCACTGTAGGCCGGCTACACACGTAGGCCCCAACTTTGTTGAAAATAGTGTTGGTTGGTGCCAATAAAGTTGGTTCTTGAGACAAGCTCTTTTCTAGGTCCACACGTTGGACCCTTTTGTAGCGTTGGTTTCGATCAACGTGTGTAGCCGCCCTTAAGTGTAAGCCTTTTTCTAGTAAACCCTAATATGAGCCCTAAAATGAATAGGCCTTTTTAAAAGTTGAGATTTCTCCATACATTAATCAGCCATAAAAACACACAAAGCTTACTGTGTCATCTAATAAAGTCCCAGAAGAAGCCATTCCCAGCAGTGGTATGCCATATCGCATGTCTTAACCAAATTAAGACAACAGCTTTCTCTTCTCTCAAGGAGCGCTAAACCACGTCGTGCTCTTCGGATAGCCTTATTTTGGTATGGAGCTTGTGAGGCCTAATTCACACGAGAGCTTTTTTAACGTCCGTTAAAAAAGCGTTCAAATAGAACATAATATGCATACCCAAGCCTATTCCCAACGCTCTGCGTTGAAAATGCAACACTGCTCGATAAAAAAGCGTCGCGTTTTAGAAGCGCCGACGTGTGAACACGTACTTGGGTATGCATATGTTCTATTTGNAACATAATATGCATACCCAAGCCTATTCCCAACGCTCTGCGTTGAAAATGCAACACTGCTCGATAAAAAAGCGTCGCGTTTTAGAAGCGCCGACGTGTGAACACGTACTTGGGTATGCATATGTTCTATTTGAACGCTTTTTTAACGGACGTTAAAAAAGCTCTCGTGTGAATTAGGCCTTAAGGACCTTTTCCACCACAGTCAAACTCATGATGGCTGTTTCAGACCTCTTTCAAAAGACACCCACTATTCAAGAGTTCTTTTTCTTTATTTTTGTTTTGACACTGACGTTTACCACCATTCTTTGTTTTTACATGGTCACAAGACGTCTGTTGCGTCAATTTCTATAAAAATTGCAAAATATTGCTAAAATTATACAAATTTTATTTCTCTGAAGGTATGCTTCTTCTTTACGTAGAGATGGTATTAATAATTATGACAAAAGTATTTTACCAAGGTTCCCATTCCTTTCAGTTTCGTCAAGATGCCAGTTCGCAACTGCTGCCTAGGATGCCAGGGCCCGTTGGCGGGCCCGTGCGGGCCGCTGGCGCACCGCATGGAGTCGTGCTCCGACGTGGGTCCCTGCTGCGTGCACAGCATAGGAGTCCAGTGCAAGTCGCCCTGTGGTGACCTTGGGGTGTTGCATGGGTAAGACACTTAAATTCCTTTCACATCATTGAACCACCAAAAGGCAAAGTGGAGAACTACACCGATAACCGATGATTGCTAGAAGACTTCCCAAATTATCTTGCCTTTTCCTGTCAAAAAAGATAGAACTTTGTGGAGATTTTCATCTGAATCTGTAACCATTTGGATCAACAAGTTTTGGGTCTTCCACCAATTTTCTAGGAATTCGACACATGCACTTCCAGAAAATTGGATTCCTTTTTTTTTCACTTAGATATCTACTGGTTGAGATATTATGGAGCCTACTGTGTCGTAAAATTTATGGTTTTTGCCAATATCATCTTTCGCAGAGCGCGCGGCGGCATGGCCGGCTCCTACTTCAGCTGCGGACACGGCTGCATCGGAGGCTGCACCGGTGGACTCTGCGGCTGCTGCTGCGGCCCCGCGTGCGGCTGACAGCTGTCACTGTTGTTAGATAAGTTTGTGCTTGTGATGTTGTTGGCGGAATAAAATTTGAACCCTACATCCTGTTATCAATCACCTACCTGCTCCCTACCTCTCCTTGATTTACACATACCTACTTTGCTCTGCAGTGACGTTCCCTCACATAAACCCTAACCCTACTCTGGCCTGACGTTCCCTCACAGAACCCTACTCTGGCCTGACGTGCCCTCACAGAACCCTACTCTGGCCTGACGTGCCCTCACAGAACCCTACTCTGGCCTGACGTGCCCTCACAGAACCCTACTCTGGCCTGACGTGCCCTCACAGAACCCTACTCTGGCCTGACGTGCCGTCACAGAACCCTACTCTGGCCTGACGTGCCGTCACAGAACCCTACTCTGGCCTGAAGGAAAACAACAAAAGTATGCATATGTGACCTGAACGTATATTATTCAAAACATCCCTACAAAAATACACTTGCTCATAATCATTGATCGATTGGCGACGAATCTGCTGTCGCAGGGCAGGGGCGGCGACCACAAGAGCGGGCGACGTGTCCATCCGAGCAGCGACAACGTTGACCTCCCGAGCTCGAGGAGACCAGGAAACACGCGCGCAGCGGAGCCCAGCTCGACGCCGGCACGTTCCAAACTCTTCCGAGGAGCGGCGCTCTGAACGCAGCCGATAGCGCGCGTCTTCGCTTCCACACGTCAGCGCTGCCACGCTTCACAGCTCACAGCTCTTGCAGCCCCGCCGCGTGCCCAACGGACCATTTAACAGCAGTGGTAGCAGCACCCGTAGCACGGAGAGCAGCATGGCGAGCAGCAGGAGTAGCAGGGCCCGCAGCACGGGGAACAGCAGGGGCTGCAGCACGGGTAGCAAGGCATCTTCGGGCTTGGGTTTATAAGTCGCGACAGAAAGTATGCGAGGTTGAGTTGATTCACTTTTTTTGGGTTTTTACTTTTTTGGTTACGGAGTGTTGAGAGTTTGAAGCTTGAAGTTTGACTAACCATGCTTGGGATTGCGGTCAAAAAGAAACGTTCAAAGAACGAAACACGTTCGAAATTTTAATTTGAGCTTGGAGTTTTTCTTTTTAATCTTGTCAATACCATTGTACCAGTATTGTTTTTAAACTAGCCATAGAAAAATCACAAAGCGGTTTTATTCTTGAATATTTTTATTCTTGGAGCAATATAGAGGAATTAACGACTATGTGGAGCAATGACTTGGAGTAAAAAATATTGAAATTTCAATAAAATATTTTTTTTCTACGAAGCACATACCATAATAATTCGTCACACTCATTCATATTTTATCACAAGACTTATTGCTTTCTCACCCTGATGATGAGGTGGTAGCTATAACTTTGTATATTCCTAGGGTGTCCAAAGGTATTGAAATCAAGTTACCTGCCTATATTACGAGTATGATGATACGTCATCGCAATCATTATTACTAGGAAAACATAATTCAATTATGCCACAAAAGCCACAAATATCCTGTACCATGAAAATTATCACCCTACAAATTTTAGGTACATCAAATTCCTGGTGATTTTCACCCTATATCAAAAACTATAGCTAGCATCTAAATTAGCCATTCCCAGAACCATCTGATCAATTAGGTACTACCTTTATTGATATAAACAGCGAGTTCTTGGAACGCGTAACATAACGTCCCTTAGCTAACAACACCGCTTAAGTCGATTTTTGGCGGTTTTGACATTTTAATGCCATTGGATAGATCTGCTCATCGCGCGTCTAACCATTGGTCACATGTTATAGATTTCAGCCAACAAGAAGCCGTAATTTGAATTTTAGTGACACCGCGCAAGTCGGTTTGCCTCGCAACACCGCTCAAGTCGTTAGTCTGCCATACATTTCTCGTAAAGTTCCTTCGCGCTCCGTAATTTTTATGTTTTTAAGTTAGATTTATCGCGAAAAGGTCTATGAAAGAAGTTTTAATAGAAGATTAAGAGGTAAGCTATATAATAATATATTTTTTAATGATTTACGCGTATTAATGTATAAGAAAATCATAATAGAAAATTTCTTCATTTACTTAAGCGGTGTTTACATTTTTTTTTTTCAAACTTAGGCGGTGTCTCAAACTGTATTTTAATACTTTTAGGAAGCTATACAAGTGAAATCCACTATTGATGGAGAAGGAATTGATTCTTGAAGTATTCCGAGTTCAGGTGATGAATTTTTATGTGCACAATTACAAGAAGCAGGACATAAACGGCGTAAAAAACTGCCCAGGTTTCAATCCAATCGAAGGGTTTCTCATAATCCACAAACGCCAGGCAAAGTGGCTGATTATACTCCTCGGTCTTCTGTATAATCTGCCGCAGCGTATGTATGTGATCTAAGACACTAAAGCCTGTCAGCCAGCCTGGAAACCAGCTTGATCAGGAGGCTAGAAGGCGTCGAGTCGGCGAGCTAGACGTTTCATAATTACTCGAAAACAGCTTGTAGACATGGTTCAGAAGTTAGATGGGTCTATAATTCTTCAACCCTTGTTGAAGCCTTATTACCCTTCCTTAGTATCCTTAACTATAACTCTTTAAACCTTTTTGCCGTTTTTAAAGAAGAGTATCACCACACTTAAATTCTGTGCCCTGCCGTAGGAGTTATTCCCTCGAGGATGACGGAATAGAACAGCTTCCAAAGAGCCTTTGGCATCGACATTTCACCTGCTTTGCCGTTCAAAAGCTGAGCCGTAATTCTATCGTCACCCGGGGCACTGTTGTTTATCAGCTGTTCCAGAGCAATTCCAAGCTCGTGTAGACTGGCGTTCGGGATATCTTAGGTATTGTGTCGGGTTAATCTAGCTCTTGGGTCTTCGGCTAGATTTGTAACAGGTGTGAACACAGTCGTGTATAATTGTCCGTAGAACTTCTCAACCTCTTTCAATATCTCAGGCCCCGACGCTATTCTCGGTCTTCAGCTTGGTCAGTTGGCTTTGGCCAACAGACAGACTGATCTCTTACGAACACCTTAGAGCCCTTGTTATGCTCAATCGTAAGTCAATGTATTACGAGTACCTATATGCGTAGGTCGCGAGTCAAAAGACTTAGAGATCTATCTGTTAAGACACCGATACTGAGTAGCATCTTCAGATGACTGCAGATCCATGTTTCGTCTCTCTTCTATAAGGTTGTCGATGAGATCAGATATCTTTTTTGTTTCTCTTAAACGACGGGTTTTAAAAACCTTAGACCCAGTCATTTGGTCAATTCCCAAGAACCTGCTATTGTACTCTTCCACATTTTTGCAATGTCCTGGCATTGGGAACGATTTTGCAACTCGAGTTGAGCTTTCGGGGTTGGATGGACGCTGGGCGGAGTGTAGACTTTCTCAGTCGACATCTATCGAGATTCGGACTTATATTTGATGTGCCTCTTACCATTTGGTGATTGCTTCCTGTTTTGACCAAATTGACCACACAGATAACATGCTTCTACGTCGACAAGATGAAGTTGATCTCATATTTCATAGCGTCATTGGGATGCAGCAAAATCTACTTTCGCAGTTTTGGCTTTCTGAAGAAGGAGTTCATCATCCCTCTCCATAAAGCCAGTTAGTAGTTATCCACGTGCGTTCCTCTCTCCGTACCCAAATTACCCCACTTCCAGCTCATTGTCGTTTCGTTCGCCCAGCTTCACGTTGAAGGCCCCTCATCACAATATTTGATCTACACACTGCGATTCTTAAGATTTAGGTTAGAGATACATAGGTTATAATGATTGTTTAATTATTTTTAAAATAATTCAAAATAAAATTTTCTTTGTAAATCATCTATTAATACCTTATTCCTTTACATTTCGGCAAACAACACCGCCTAACTCTACAAAAATATCAGTCAACACCGCTCAAGTCATAAAATATAGGTTAAAATAAAGTAAATCGTCAAATTAAGTATAAATAATTATTTCTTAACCGCTAAATAAAGTATTTAATAAGTAACAATAGGAAAAATCCACCCATTTTTTAAAATAAACAGTTTTTTTCGTCTCCTGAAAAGTTGCTAAAAATGACTTACGCGGTGTTGTTAGCTAAGGGACGATAATTTCTGGCATAACGCTCAATACATATCAATACAGTCAATCTAAATTGAGAAACAGTAAGTAATTAGTTTCATGGTCGACGAATGATCGTAGTGGAAACTACTGTGGACATTGGAGTTCGGTGCTATGATTGCATAATGACTATCAGTTTCAGTTATTATTATATTCGACATATTTTGATAGAGTTATCCTCGTAAGACCGAAGAGTAAATTTTGTCGACTTCTAAGTATCGCCGAATGTGCTTTCAGAAGAACGAATAATTTGAAGTAGTAAACGCCGAGCACTTCGAGTAAAAAAAATTCTATGTTAGAGATTTTCTTTTGCATTCATATTTTCAGGGGCCCTATATAATAGTGCATAGAGCTTATTTTAGGTAAAAAAAAATAAAAAAATGTTTTCTCTTAAAAGAACATTCGGTATTACAGACTTTAAAAAGGAAAAGTAAATAAATTGATTTTATACTTTAAAATAAAACATAAATGTAACCTTTTTAATAAATTATTACTACATAAAGATACAATAATGATATTAATACATGTAACTGAAAAGGTACAGCGGTTTTTATTTTATTTAATGTTTTATAATTAGTACTTTTAAAAGTACTATCGGTTTTATGATATACACTAATGATAGGTTAGAATGTATAAGAAGTAAAGTGAAAATTCATGTCAATTATAATATTTTCTAAACTAAAAATCAGAACGTTCTCATGGTAAATTTTCTCAATCATATCATAATTTTAAAAGTCCAATACTTAATTCCATCTCAATAGAAAAAATATACAAAAATAAAACTTTCACCATCAAGACCGAATGTTCCTTGCAAAGAACTATTATTTTCAAACGAAAAAAAATCTTACAAAACTACTTCAAATTGGGAAAAATAATTTTTTTGCTTGTTTAGCAGTATTTTAACTTAAATTATACTGATCAGTTTTGCAATTAAACTACGTTAACGTGAAGAAAAAAAATTAATCGCACATCACGTCTTCTCGGACGAACCACCTTGT